CTTTTGATTGTATGCTTAAATATACTGAAGTTCAATTAGAGCTTTTGTCTGATTATGATCAATTATTAATGATGGAAGCTGGAGTCCGTGGTGGACTTACACAAGCGAGCATGCGATATGCTCAGGCGAACAATAGCAAGGTTCCAGACTACGATCCCTCGAAGCTTAACTCATGTATCGCATACTTGGACGCAACTAATCTGTGGGTATCATATTATGTAATAATATTAATAATAATTTATTAATTTTGTATTAAATTTTTTTTTAGTTACGGCTGGGCAATGAGTCAATTTTTACCAAAGGATGGGTTTTCATGGTATGAAGGAGAACTTTTTTTTTTTCCCCTGGAAAAGCTGGTTGTGAACATACAAATATATACTACTGTCGTTGGTATTTTAACGGTGTTGTTGGGACACTTGACAATATTTTGATATATATGAGTAACAACCTCATTAACGACCCTATGAACACACCTACTGACGGATGAAGTTGATATTCCATGAGTAGCTCCAATACCATGTTGTTGTGCGCCATTGCCAAGCCAGTTCAATGTAGTCAATAGCTGATGTTCTGCTGTGATTGCCTTATTTCGAATACTCACATGAGTTAGGATATGTTCAATCTTACTTAAAATAAACACTACTTGATTTTTGTTAATCGTCGAAAACATTGACGGTACTGACGGTCACATAAGTCAAAGTATACAAGTATACTCGGTCTCTATATAGGTACTCGTCGAGGTCATCCGTCATCATAGCCAATATTATTTAAGAGCCACTCTAATCTTAACATAATAATTATAATCCTAAACTATAATAACAGTATTTATATAAAATGTACAGATTTGATGTACTTTATTATAACCGTTTCAACTAAATTTTTTTGTAAAAAAAAATCACTGAAAATTATTGTAGAGTAAGATTTTTATTTGCATTTTTTATCAATATTTAATGAAAAGTCGAAAAGCTTTTCATCAAACAATATAATGGTGGAATGAAAACATAGAAAACATAACGAAAAGTGGTAAACTTTTCAATCCTCACTTTTCACTTTTCACTTTTTGGTGGAACAAAAAAACAAATGAAAAGTGAAAAGTTGCAAAGTGCGTTGGTGAATAGGCTCCTAGACACAGTTTCTTACCATGTGATAGAAACTTTGGCCTGATTGAAAAACAAAAAAAGCGTCAAGAAAGAGTGTTTCTACCAGTTACTTATCAAAATATTGTGTCTAAAACATGTAGAAAATTTGTTGTGATAGATGCTACTCAAAATATTATATTAAACTATTCTGGTTGCTTAAAACAAAAATTCAAAGCACAACATAAATTAACCCTTATGTTGTATAGAACTATGATTTATTCATCAGAAGGATTATTAGTCAGTAGCAGTGGCGCAACTAGGGGGCTGGGGGGCTAGGGGGCTTAGCCCCCCCTGGCTATGGTTTAAACCCCCAAAAAATATAATTTATTAATTTTAAATATTACACGTAAAATAGTATTTTGTCACTTGGAAATAAAGAAATGAATATTTTAAATCTCGAAAAGTTTTCAAGTAAAATAGATAAGAGATAACAATTATGTTTGATATAATAAATTGAGTGAAAAATATCTATTTTTAGACAGGGACTGTGGGTTTTATATTATTTTGTGATATTTAGGATTGCATTGATAAGCTTTGTCGTACTGTCATCTGTCTTGTAATTGAGGTTGGAATATTGAAGAATATTTACAATTATAAAACGTCACGCCTCTGTATTTTTCAGTTATTGTTATTACTTATTTCTTATTTGTTTTGTGAATTTACTATGTACGATCTTTAAGATGAACAATAAAGTTTTTAATATTTTTAATATTAATAAAAAAAAAAATGATGAATGCGTAGTGCCCGTAGTGGTCAAAGAAACTTCCATAGTAGAAGCTGAAGAGCCCGTCATAGTACAGAAAATACAGCCGAATAGCCCTAATAATTTAGGTGATATTCACAACGGGCAATACCGACCAATATTACAGGTAAGTTATTCATTATTAAATAATTTTAAAAATTGTGTATATTTAACCTCTATTTTTTTTTGTTATTTTTGCATGTCATTTATGCCTTAATACATAAATACCTACAACATTTATCATAAATAGCCTAACTATTTTAATACAAAATAGGTATATAGCAACAAAAACCTTCAGGTGTAGGTAGGTAAATATTTTTTATAATAAATGAGTACCTCTGAACCTACTTTCCTTTTGCTTAAATCATAATAGTATTTTGCCATTTTGGTAAGTACTTTTTAACTTAAGACTTGTAATAAAATGCATTATTATTCAATTATGTTGCTACCTGACACTTTAATTTTAAATTTTGTTTAGGTGTATCCAAAAACCAAACATAGAACTCAAAACCGAAGTTTTAGTGCTTCATGGTATGATCACTTTCCATTGATTGAGTACAGTATCGAGAGTAATGCAATTTATTGTTATGTGTGCCGTATATTTGGTAATGAGACTTCAGAGGATACATTTGTCAAAATAGGATTCAACAATTAACATTACTTCAGGAACCAGGATTTGTGGTTCATCTATTTGTTTTATATGAAATTTTACTTGTTGTAAACATTCTGAGTAATAGATTACAAGAAAAAACCGCCACTCTAGGACAAGCAGCTCAAATAATTCATTCTGTAATACAAAGTCTAAAAGATTATCGAAATGATGATAGATTTTTGGTTGTTTGGAATCAAATAAATTAATTTGCCAAAAAGCATCAAGTTTCGATTGAGAAACCTACAATTAGTAATTACTAATTTGTATTTTTTCAAATTATATTACTTTCTAATTGTAAAAATATCAATGTTATAATTAGTAATTTATATTCATTCTAATTTTTAGGTCTTGGGTCGAAAAGAAGAAGAGTTGAAAGTACACGTTTGTCAAATTTTTATGTAACTTCTACAACTAGTGCTCAACAAGAAGTTTCTGCTCAAGTAACAAATGAAGCATTTTGGAGAATCAAATATAATACTGTGCTTGATTCTGTTATTGAAAATCTTATTCGTCGTTTTTCTGATCAAAGTTTAGAGCTTGCTCAGTCCGTCGACAATTTTTTTCTGCTTGATTTTAAAGAAAGCAAATTATTCATTAACCATTATAAAGTAAGAATAGATCATCTTTCAATAAAATCTCTAAACAATGAATATTATGATTATATGCTTTAATTTATATTTTTTTACTACTGTATTATAGGATCTGTTTCAAATTGATACTGATACATTACTGGCGGAAATGACTGTTGCAAAAAATGCTTTTCAAACTGTGTATCAAGATCAGGTATTAGGTGATCCAGAGCAAATGAAAAGTATCATAAATTAAGCTACTTTTCCAAATCTATACAAACTATGGTCATGAAGTTAGCCCCCCCCCCCCCACTTCGTCTGATCCGTTCAAAACCAACGCCAATATTCAGAAAATTAATTGCAAATAATTGCAAATTGGTTTTTAGAATTTGCAAATCAAAATTGGAATTTTGGCGAATTTTTTTGCAAATTTGGTCAGCCCCCCCACTTCGTCTGATCCGTTCAAAACCAACGCCAATATTTAGCAAATTAATTGCAAATAATTGCAAATTGGTTTTTAGAATTTGCAAATCAAAATTGGAATTTTGGCGAATTTTTTTGCAAATTTGGTCAGCCCCCTTCCCCCCCACTTCGCCCGATTTGGTCAGCCCAACACTTCGGCCGATCGACTTCAAACTGGTTTCAATATTTTGCAAACTAAGTACCAAGTACTAAGTTTTTTAAAAGTATTTGCAACAATTTGCAGCCCCCAAAAAATAAATTTTAACTACATTTTTACCGTAGTTTTACAATAATATTTTTTATACTTATTATAAAAATCATAAAATATATACGAAATATTTTTTAGAATTTGCAAATGTAAATTGTAATTTACAAAATAATTAGTAGGTATAATTCTGATTATTTTATTGAATACAGATTTTTTACTAAACATAGATTCTTTTAACAAATATATATTTTATATCGATTTTTTATCAAATATAGATTTTTATTAAATACAGATTTTTTAATTAAATACTGATTTTGTTTGAATTTTAATGGTTTTATCAAATATAGAACTTTTTTTTGAAGATCGTTGTGGACTTCCCACTGGCCTCCTATACGTCGCGCGTCGGGTGTACGATACATAATGTCCAGGTACATAAGATATTGCTCCATATAATATATAACTGCAACATATAATTAATACAATTCTAAATTTCAATTATCTAATTATGTAGGTACCAATAAATGGTAAAGTTGATCATTTATATACTTACGTTATATTATTGACTTCTACTTCCAAAGGGAAATCTGTCAACATTGTTATTGCTTCATACATGTCTGTTTCAATGAAAAGATGTTCATGTAGTTCCCTTTTAGAGACAGCATCATGACCACATTCTGAGCACTCAATTAGGATCTCTTTGCAATATTGTTTTAAATCTTTTTGAAATTTAAGAAACTATTACTAAGTTTAACAATTATTGTTGGGGACCCAATTTCTTTCGCCATACAGTTGTTATTTGAACATTTTATTATTTGCGTAGATGATGGACTATTTTTCATTAGAGCATTAATTATATGAAGTACATTGTATTCAGCGTTAATAAGTATAATATCATTAAGTCCTGAATCACTGTTGAATATTTTTTTTTAAATAAAAAGGCGTTTTTTTGTAAATAATAGAACTTGGTCCATTTTTAGCCAATTCTTCACAAAAGAGCAATAGTTCATTAGAACTTTTTTTCATATATTCTTGATAATATTTGCTATCAGTATATGCCATAGCAAGAATAATACATACTGAGTCAAAAGCACAGGTGTTGGACACTAAATATCTTTTTTTATTTATTTTAATTGGCGTTTTCATATTGCCGTTAATTAATAATGTCTGATATTTGGACCGCAAACTTTTATATAATATCCTTTCAATTTCAGGAGTCGAATCCATGTATTTAGTACTCTTTTTTTTTCTTTTTGGCCAAACTTAGATTTGTATTAGGTTTCTTTCCTTTTCCTCGCCAGTTTTCAATATCATCATTTGAACTTTCAAATGAACTTGAAGTAGTCTCATTTTCATTTGTTTTAGTATTGAAATTACTTTCTTTGTAAAAATTTAATTCTAGATCATCAACTTTTGTGTCACAAGTATAATCAATGTCGTCAAAAAGTGAATTATTACTGTGTTTAAAATCATTATGGTTATCAGTAGATTTTTCAATTATTATTGAATTTTTTGTGTCCTCTTCTTTGTTCTGATTAATTTCGTTTGAATCACCATAACCGTTATTATGCAAATTTTCTTCATTGTAATCGGAAACATTACTATCAGAGTCATTGTTAGATCTGTTACCATTACCATTACCATTATAACATGCTTTCTTATGAATTTTGTTCTTGGGTTTTTCACTGTCATGACGTGTATATCTTATCTGTTTACTTCTGAATAATTTGCTAAGTTCGTTAATACTTTGAACATGACGAATTACGAAACGGTCAGCAGTCATTGGTTTTTCAAAAAACCTTAATACTTCATTTTTGAGTTTATTGAAATCGTTCTCAACCGATGAACTGGTAGCAATAACATAAGGTGATTTTTTTTTCCTGTTTTAACCGACGACGCCGCGGGATCTGCTTTCGCATTGCTTCCGCGGCGCCGCCATCGTTTATTGACGGTATCAAAAATTAATATATACATGGGAGGCAGACGGGACAGCTCCCCTACTTACCCCGTTCATGCATTTTAAATTTTGCATTAACAATTAAAACTTCTTCCTGACCTTCTCGGGTCGACCGGAGTCCGCCGCCCTTGAATTCGCGTGCCTGTCATCCGATTGGCGAGCCGACCGGAGTCCACCGCTCTGGATGTTTCGTTCTCCATCAGGGCGGTCGCACGTTCCCCTGTGCCCTTAGCAGGGCCTTCTCCTCGCGTTCATCTTTTTCCTTGGTCGACAGAATCGTCTCGACCATGCGGATGAACTCCACGCGGTTAGTTTCGAACTGTCTGATAATTCTCCTTCGGGCTTGGACGTCTTCCGGCAAGTCATGTGACAGGGGACCACACAGGATTTCCTCAACGTCGCCCGCGTTCGGAGGTCGCCTCATAATCTCAGTCATTCGAACGCGGTCGCCAAGCCATCTCGGGCAGGTAAAAACCGTGTGCTCAACAGTGTCGTCGGGGTCGACGCAGTATACGCAATAGCTGTCGTCCGCCCGATTAAACCTCTTCAGGTAGCTCCGGAAGCACCCGTGCCCCGAAAGCACCTGCGTCAGCCGGAAAGTCAGGGTTAGCGGTGGCTTTGTTAACCAGCGCCCAACATTAGGTAGGAGCCGGTATGTCCATCTGCCTTTATCAGACCGGTCCCACCGAGCTTGCCAAGCTGCAATGCTGATTATTCTCTCTTGGTTTTTAACGGTGCTCGGGGCGACGTCAGTCTGTTCGTCCAGGCGAACCCGAACTCTAGCCCTTTCTGTTGCTAGCAGATCTGCAGGTAGCATTGAGGCCAATACTGACGAGGCGTCGGCCGAGACTGTCCTATAGGCACGTGTTATGCGGAGTGCGACGGTCCTCTGCGCTCTTGCCAGTTCCGCGCGATTCTTAGCCGTTTTTGTCCCGCGGACGGCCCAGGTCGGCGAGGCGTACAGCATCTTACTGTTTGCCACAGTGCCAAGAAGCGCTCTTTTGCTTTGCGACGGTCCGCCGATGTTGGGCATCAGTCTGCCTATGGCTGTCGCTGAGTCGATAGCCTTGCGGGAGGCCTGTTGTATGTGTTTGGTGAAAGAGAGCCGAGTGTCGATCTCAACACCGAGGTATCGCATTGATTGTTTGATAGGAATTACGTGTCCTTCAACCAGAAGCTCCGGGTTGTTGTATTTGTTTTTCCTTGTTAGAACTACAGCCTCGATTTTGGTGGGGGCTAGCTTCAGTCCGTTTTGTTCCATCCAAGCCGATACCTTAGCTAACACAGGATTGAGCAGGGTAGCGGCTGCTTCGCCTGTGCGGGCGATGCCTATGATGCACACATCATCAGCAAATGCCACGAGTTGGACACCCGCAGGGGTTTCCATGTCCAATAAATCGTCGTAAAAGACATTCCACAAGGCCGGTCCGAGAACAGAGCCCTGGGGCACGCCGCACGTCGTACTTCGACGGTGAAGTGTTTCGCCAACCAATATGGATCGATCCTGTAGGTAGGATCTTATCATTTTCACGAGGTACGAGGGTACATTCTTAACCCGGAGGGCATTATCCACCTTCTTCCAGGGAGCCGTGTTGAATGCATTCTTCACATCTAGAGACACAGCCACGCAAATATCCCTGTGCTGTGCCGCGCCTAACGCTGTGCCGCGCCTAACGCTGCGCCGTGTGCGGCGTTCAGCAGTCGTTCCATTGCGTCAGAGGTCGAGCTGCCTTGGCGAAACCAGTATTGGTTTGGTGATCTATGACCGGTGCTATCGAGGTGCGTGTCGAGTCTTGCCAGAATTAGCCGCTCTAAGAGTTTCCCCGAGGAATCAAGCATACACAGCGGCCTATAGCTGGACGGTTCGGTTGTCGGCTTGCCGGGGCCTTTGTGCAATAGTACCAGTCTGGATTCCTTCCATCGGGAAGGGAAGGTGGTGTTGGCCAAGCAGTTGTTGTAGACGCTGAGTAGGATGTTAGGCTTCCGGAGGAACACCTTGGCTAGAACCTCGTTGGGGATACCATCGGGGCCGGTTGCCTTACCGTGGGGAAGTCTTTTGCAGGCTTGGGCCAGTTCGGCCAGGGTGAAGTCTTCAACGGTTTCATCTTCTGCGGTTTCTGGTAGGTGGGGCTCGAGTGCCCAGTCCGTCGCTGGGGGGTTCGGGAAGAGGTGATCGGCGATCTCCGACTCCATGCCGCGGGCTTCAATTCCTGGACGTCGACGACCGATGCGTTTGGTGACGACTTTGTAGGGAAGACCCCACGGGTCGGAGTCAATGGATCTGCATATGTCGGACCAGCATTTAGCCTGGTCAACATAAGGCGATTTAAATTTATCAGTCATCACTCAAGTCCATAGAGGAAAATCATAGCAATAACGTTTCAAATCTTTTATTAATCCTGGTAAGTAGTATGCTGATTCCCTATTGCCTTCAATTAATGCATCAATATTACTTTCATTTTCTACTTCATCAATGAAAATCTTAACTTCGTCTTGCTCATAGATTGTTATTGGATTTTCATCTAACTCCTCACTTGCATTTTCTAAATGGTGGATTTCCAATTCCTCAGAGTTATTTTCGTTGTATGATGTAGAGTCTATTAATGACAATAAAAATATTCTACTACTTTCTGAAGAATTTGGTTTCGTATTATTGTCATCTAGATAACCATCTGTGTAACTTAAAATAACTGTCATTAATGATTTCAATATTTGTTTGAACATTTCTAACGTTGTTGAAGTTAATAACAATCGAAATCCGCGTACATAAAATTCTTTTAATCGTTTGTTTCTAATTTCATTAAGTATTTTTAAACGGCAAAACAGTTTAATCATATGAGAAACGTCTATTCTAATGAAACACGGTGGTATATCACAGGTTGAACCGTTCAGATTTGAAAAACAATTTTTTACGTAAGTCCTAAGATCACATGAACAAAATGATCTGCACATGGCTCCGAGAAGAGCTTTTGAACAATCTGAAACTGCCTCGTTTGGTGGATTTGCTCCAGATTTGATCCACAAATCTAGCCAAAAAGATATTGTAATTGTGTCATGCCTTTCTGATATCATCTGACTCACAGGAAAATGTCCAAACCCTTGACTAACAACCGCTTCATACAAAAATATATCTCCAGATATAAGGTTTAAGCTTGTACGTTTTAATTTTTTGACTAGACTTCCGGTAGCATCAACAGATAGTCTACAATATTCCTTATGTAAGTCCCTGTATATTAGTAATTGATGATTGGTCCAGTAATGTACACATAAAGGATCACATCCTATATTGTGAATGTTTCCAGCCAACGATGTATGTTTTAATTCGACTAACGATTCCAAAACATTTTTTTGAGGAATTTTAAGTAAATTGTCGGTATAATTTTGCTTAGCCCCTCGAGTATCTTTTGTTAAAATATGTACTTCCAATGGTTCAAGATTTTCAGGTTTTTTATAGCACCATCCAAATAAAACTTCATCGCAATCCTTACATTTGGCTTGGAAACTTATAAAATATTTTGCGTTATTAATATCCATACCAACTTTTGCTCTCTTATAAATATAATTGCAGGGTAGCTTATGTTTTTTAATAAAAGCGTCATTTATAAAATCTGCCCATGCATATTGCTTCAATATACTATAAGATCTTGATGTTTCTTTTTTTTGTATCGCATAGTACATGGTAATATACTTGAGTATTTGTCATAAGGAATGGTAAAATAAAAATCAACCCTATTCCCTTCTGCCTCAGTATCTGAATCATTTGATGATTCAGAACCTTTGTTTTGAATTACACGTGGCGGTGATTTTTGGATACCACATAAATCACGAAGCCGATTTTGCCATCCGTAATGGTTTTGATAAACGCATAGGTAGAGACTATTTGGAGTCATTTCATTTTGAATATCAAGTGATAATTCAGTCCATATTTTATCTGACACAGGTTTTAATTGTTCTTCTATAAAAATCAGATGTTTTTTCTTTGAGAGAACTTCAAAAACAATTTCAGGATTGATTGCTGGTTTTCTACCTGCTTTCTTATTATTCTGTATAAAAAAAAAATATTCTTAATATAATTATAATTAAATTCACAAACACTACCTACGAACAACCATAATATTATTTTGTCATAACAGTTCAATACACTAAAGTGGCTTGAAAATAATATTATGATTACTATTAATTAGTATTTTATATAATGTTTTTTGTAATGCTGACAATGTTTGAACCTCATAAAGTTAGCAAAACTACGACAGGAAATACATTCAACAAACTTGTTGGACATTGTTGGACTTTAGTTTTGCCGTTAGAGCTTTAGACATTTTTGTGCTGCCAACTATACTCCAACAGCACAACTTTACGGTAGCGAAATTTCACCCGATAAAAAATGTTCATCTTGATTTGTTGGACACTGTTAGACCACTCTTAAAATTTGTTGGACATGTCTTGGACAAGTACATATTTAACTATTGCCCTTTATTATAAAATACATTTTTTTATTTTATTCATATTTTTATATTTTTTAAGACTAGGTATTCAAAATATAATTTTTATTGTAATTCGATTTTTTAACAGATTTTATTTTTCAGATTTTAATTTAATTAAACATGTTTTATCAAACATTTTTTTATTATTTTTTTAAAGTACTAAATTTTTACCAAAAATATATTTTTTTATTGATTTTAGATTTTTTATCGAATAGATTTTTTTAATAAAATAATTTAATTTAGATTTTTGTAAAAAATATAAATTGAATACAAATCTGTTTGATGAAATATTCATAATGAAAAAGATATATAAATTACAAAATATTAAATATTTTTTTTTGAAAAAACATAAATTATATAAAAAATCTTTATAAAATTTAGATCTTAAAAAAATTCTGTAATAAAAAAATACAAAAAAATCGATTTTTGACAAAAAAAACTTTTTTATCAACTTTTCTGAATAGATTTTTTATTGATTTTTTATTTGATTTTTAATGATTTTTTATCAAACCGATTTTTAAAAAATTCTTTCATAAAAAATCAATATAAAAAAATTAAAATCATTAAAAAAGTTACATAATATGTAATTTTATGCCATAAAAGGAAAACATAATTTTGAAATACATGTTATGCGGTGGGCCCACTTTGAGGTGTTAACCATGGATAATAAACACATACTTCCCTAAACCTAATATACAAGGAATAATGTGAGTGCAACGTTTACTAGTTACCGTATTGGTTATTTGCGGTAAAAATATCGGTTATACGATATTCCGGTTATATCGGAAAAACATTTTTTATCAATTGTATTTACTGATCATTTTTATTATAATCTTTGAGAAAATAACACAGTATTTTTTTTACTACAGTAGGTTCTATATAAATTAGCACTAATATTATTATAAAATCAATACATTCATTGCTCCGCTCAGATTGTAATATAATATATTATTGTAAAACCAATACCTTTATTGTTTCAGTTGGAATCTTAAATATATTATAACATATTGATAATTCAATTTCAATTAATTAAAGTTAATTCTGTAGGTTTAATGTATCCTAATAACTAAGCAATATTAAAATACCTATATGATATTATAACTTCTTCATGCCATATTGCCATACAAAAATTAAATCGACAAATACGAAATTAGTGCGGATTACTAAAAAAATCACCTACGGCTGTATCATTTAATAAATTAATTTTAATAATAGGTACACACTATTGTAATAAAAAATATTTTTTAACTTACCATTATAAACACGATGTATTAAGGTTAGTAAAATGCAAAAGTATACGACTGGACGTCTGGACTGCAAATGACAACACAATCATATTATTGTTGTCTACAGAGATCGTCAATGGCATATCTAGACGATGCCACTACACAAAAAATAGGAAAACCCGAAGAAGTACAGCACGCAAGTAACGACAGGTCCACCATGTGATAAGAAATAACAATAGGCACCGTTTAAACACTATTATAACACGATGCGTTATGGCCATAAGCATTTTTATATTTTTCACTAAATTTATACAATTACTTATTTAATATTTATGGGTTTTAATTCTGTGATAGACAGTGGAGGGGGGGCAATCGGGGCAGTTTCTCCGGGCCCATGGCAGCGCCCGACACGTCGCTGTAGTGGGGACGGCGTCTGACTATAATATGTCTGACCGCCGCCGCCCGACGAAAACCCATCGCGCCGACTACCGTTCTTATTTTTATCAGACTATATACTATATACTATAAACTATGTATAAGTTATTTTTATTTTTAATATCGCACAAAGTATACCTAATCAATAATCATAATATAAATATTAAATACACAATATACTCAGTAAATGCCAGAATATAAAATGACAATAATAACCTTATTTAACCAAGCTAAAATATTATTTATATTAAGAACTCTGCTAAATCTATTAAATCAAAAAACATTATAAAAAAGTAAAGATATTAAGTAATTACGAGTTCGTAGTAGGCAGGGGTTAAAGTGGGAAAAAATTCCAGAGGAGACTAATGTCTCCATATAGTTTTAAGCGTTCCATATATAATTTTATGTATAATGTCTAATGTATAAAATCCTAATTTGTTAAAGGGGACGCTTTTTAACCGCCGTCAGAGGTAGGGGGGCTGAGTCCTCCTGCGTCCCCCACTTTAACCCCTGGTAGTAGGTAACTATATTAAATAATACCGTACCTACCTATGTCGTTTAATTAGGTCTATACCTCTATAACAATACGTCACATGACAGTAGAGTAAAATAACTCTTTATACCTAGGCAACTCTATATAATATTATTATAACAACATCCTAGTCGTTAGAAAAAGAGGTCTTTTAGGTCCATTTTTTAGCATAGCTGATATTTTTATCAAACCATACAATTTGATTATATTTTTTTTGTATAACCAAATGTTACTATTAAGCTACAATTTGATACTTACTTATTCACACGTACAAACGTTTAGAAATATACTGTACTAGGTACCGATTGTAAAATAACTCTAAACGAATATTTAAAAAATAAATAAAAAATAGAAAACAAATTAAGTATAACAACTTCATTAAATCATATAACAATTAAAACCGCAAAAATTTGAAAACGCTAGTTTTAAAAGAATCTCTTGTATGGCTGTAACATATTATACATTGATTATATTCTTTTAATAAAAGGTACATACTATTCTTAATAACTTTAAATATTTCTAAACTTACCATTTTTAACAAGATGTAATAATTTTAAATCAAATAACAACAATGCACAAGCTATCGTAAAATATACTAACAATTAAATAGAATATAGGAACATGCGACTGCACTGGACTTCAAAAGAGAACAGAGTCACTGTAATTTTAACTAAATAATATTGTTTTCATTCGGTAAAGTCCTCCACATAATATTATTGTGTCTACGGAAATCGACAACGCCCGAGCTACTACGAAAAAATAGAAAAACCCAAAAGAATACAGCACGCGAGTGACAACGCAACTCGATAAGAAATTACAATATAGTCACTATCTTAAATAATAATTATTTTGTTTAATAGTTTTATTCATTTATATTGTAAAAAAACACATGACTATATTTCTCTGCAGCATATAGTGAGTATCGAAGGAACCTCGTCATTGAGTCCCTGCAGTAATCAATATCAGAACATGATACATTTTAATTCAATAAATATTATTAAACATATTAATATATAGGTATAACTGATAAATATTTTATTACGACATTAAGTCGAACATTACATAATACGTTATGCCGTATTTGAGTACCTATTATAATTTATAATATTCCAACCTGCCTGTAATTTTAGTTTTTTTTCATATGGCGTTGAGCTGTAGGCCCGAAGGCATAACTAAGTTCTGACGCCATGGACTTATGCATAAAAATTAGAGATGGAGAATTTACGTAAAAAAAAATATCGGTAAATTTACCAATAATGTGGTAAAAATGGTAAAATAGCTAAATCTTAGAGCCATTGTTATTTTTTATATTAGACATTAGTTAATACGATTTGTACTAGGTGCTAATGTTGTATACCTACTTGTTAAATCTAGTTCTTTCTAATAATAACAATAATTAACAAAAAATTTAAAAAATGAACCTAAAATATCTATTGTTCTGTATTAGACAATAGTAATTAGTACATTTTATGAAATATGAATATTGAATTATTCATATTACAATTAATAAATAATTTAAATTAAATTAAACTAAACTATCAAAATTCACATAACCTTTATTTCTTTTTAAGTCAAAACATTTATATTTATACTTAACTTTTGTATTAATAATAGTATTTTATCAATATCACATTATCTGCATTCTTGGTATCTCCCTATAAAATCTTTCCTAATTACCTACTGATATTTAATGTTCTAATATATAGGGGTGGCAGAATATTGATTTTATAGTCTATAATAAACTATATAAACTATAACAAGTATGTTAATATTACAAATGATAATATCACAGAAGTTCCTTTATCGGTTTACCTACTTTGGTCCAACCCAAAAAATTTTAAGGTAATTTTGCCAACT